ATTATTTCTTAATAAAATTATAAATTTTAATATAAAAAGAAAATTTCAATTTTTATTATATTTTATTAATAAATTTAATCTTTGAATTATTACTTTTGATTATAACTATATATATATTCTTTATATTTAATATTTTATATATAATATATAAAATTAATTTTTGAATTAGTTTAAAAATATTATTTAAATATTTATATAATTAAATTATTAATTAAAAACTATTTAAAATTATTTAAAAGTTAATTTAATAATATATTTTCTATATAAAAAATCTTATATTTAATATATCTTTTTTTTATAATATTTTTTTAAATATAAATTAATTTTTTTATTTTAGATATAATATATTTTAAATATTTTATATAATAAAATATAATAAAATATAATATTAATATTTTTTAAAATATTATTAAATATAATTATTTTATTAATAAGTAATAAATATTAACTTAAATATTTTATTTATTATTAATATATATTAATTTATAATAAATAATATTTTTAAATTTATTTTTAATAAATAAATAATTATTTTATTATAAATATTATCTTTTTTAATTTAATAAAGAAAAAGTTAGTATTAAAAATTAAGAAAAATTTAATTTCTTTAATAATTTTAAAAATATTAATCTTTTTATTTTTTTATAAATTAAATTTAATAAAAAAATTATTAATAATTATTTGAGTTTTAATAATATTAAAATTAGCTAATTTAAAAAAAATATTAATATTTTTATAAATTATTTAATTTTTTAAAGAAAATATTTAAGATAAAATTTAGATTTAAATATTAAAAATTTTTTTATTATTTTTATAATATTAAACTTTATTTAATTTAATTAAATTAAATCTTTTTATTATTTTAATATTATATAAGTTATATATAATTTATAATAATTTTTTTGTAAAACTTTTATATTTAAATTTAGTATATTTAAAAATTATAAACTTTAATTTAATAATTACAAATTATTAAATATAAATAAAATTAAATATTTTTATTTTAATTATTAATATTATTTTTAAATACTTTTTTATTTTTATTTAACTTTTTAATTTTATTAAAAATTAAATTAAGAATATTATTAAAATTTTTTTTAATTATTTTATTTTTATTAAAAATATAATTAATTTATTCTTTAATTATTTTATTTTAAATAAATATATTTTATGATAATTAAAATAATATAATTTATTTATTTATTAAATTAAATATAAATATAAATATTTTAAGCTTAATTATAATTATAATAAGTAATAATATTAATATTATAATATAGAGTTTTATTTTATATATAATTTTATTAATTAATTTTTTTACTAGCTTGATATTTTTATTATAATAATTTCTTTTTAATTTGATTTTAATAAAATAATTCTTAAATTTTTTAATTAATTTTTTAATATTTTTTTTAATAAATATTAGATTAAAAATTATTATAAAAATATTAATAAGTATTATATAAATCAGTTTTAAACTTATAATTTGAATTTTTAATACCAATTAATATTATATTTTAATAATTTTAAATTATTATCTTGTTTTAAATATATTAAAAAGTTCTTATAAATAGATTTATAAGTTATTTTTTATTAATAAATATATAATTAAGTTATTTTATTAATACTTTTATTTGAATTTAATAATTTAGAAATTTTAATAAAAAGTTTTTTATTATATTAATAATATTATAATTAATTATATTAATATAATAAAAGATTTTTTAATAATTAAATTAAATAAAAAATATAATACTTTATCTAATTAATTAATATTTTTATTAAGAGCTATATTATATAAAATATATATAAAAATATTATTATTATTACTTTTATTAAAACTATAAATTTATTTAAAAATAAATTCTTTTTTAGTTATAATAAATATATTAATTTTAATATTAATTATAAAAGCTTTTCTAATAATAATTTTAATTATAATCAAATCTCTTTATAATTATATCTCTTTATAGTTATATCTCTTTATAATCATTTTTTTGAGTTTTTCAATTACTAATTAACTATAATTAAAAAAATTCTCTTTATAGTTATCCAATTTTACTTTTCCAAGTATAATAACTATAGTGAGATTTGACTATATATTATAATACTTTATTTTATCTTATATAATTTAATATAATTCTTGAATTTTAGTATTTTAATATTTTAGTATTTCTCAAAATATTCTTATTCAGAATTTTAATATAAACAAAATAAATTATTATAAAAGATTATTTAGCCAGTTATTATATTAAACTATTACTCTTTGTAATTTGTAAATATATATTTTTTAATAATAAATTATCAGAAAATTAATTCAAAAAGTAATTTGTTGATATTATTTATATAAAATAAACAAAATATATGTAATATACATATAAAAAACCCCTAATTTTTCTCTTCTTGATAATATATGAAAAGAAATTAATGAACAAATAAAAAAGCAGAGAACTAATACCTATTTCATTGTATTAAAGATCAAAAACTTGTATTTAAATTCAAAATTTTTAAATAACAGTTTATAATATCATCAATATTATTATAAAATCAATTCTTCACATATTGAAAAATGTTCTGATTTATCAAAAATTATAATAAATGCACATTACAATTAAAGATGATGTATCAAATTACAACATTATAAAAAATAAAGTCTCAATTTACAACAAACTGTAATATTATAATAAAATAAAGTATTACTAAGATCACGATCGGTGCATATTACATTGATGACAATGTCTTTAGGTAATACTGTGCTTGTATGTTTATCAAAAATCTTTTTTGATAATTCAGAAGTTCAGACAATTAATTTGTTCCTTTTATGGTCGTGAAACTTATGCAGTTAACTTTGATTTGCTCATTTTTTGTTCATATAGAAAAAAATACGCCAAAAGTTTAAATTTGACAATGTGCTCCGTGATCTTAACGATGACGCTGTAGGAAAGATCTTTACGCATTGAATCCGGTTGGAAGACGGCTCGCCATTGAAATTAAGATGTTTTGATGCAAGATGCTTGCATGGAACACAGTTTGGTTAGAATCCATCCCGAATATGTGATCATTCTGATAGCGCCACCGAAAGCCAGCACTGGGTCAAGGTTCCAGATCCAATTTAATTACAGTTTGTTTTGCTCAAAGGGGTGGTGTTAGAATTGGTGAAACGTAAAACTCGCCCTTTAATGCACGCACTACATAAGGGCACTACGCATATTACATAAACTTGACCACCCTAAAATATTGGGTAATAGATGTCAGTGCCTAAATTCACGCTAAATGCCTCAATTCCAAGTTAGGTATTTTACTTAAATGCACAAACTTTCATTTTTTCTTATGGTTCCAAGGGGAGTGCATTTAGTGAGGTTCAACTTTATTACATAATATCTATCCTTAAGTTTATCAAGCGCAGAAAGTTAATGGATGTCACTGTCAGATGCAGCAATGATATTTTTGGTTGAACCTCTTTTTTAAATTATCAACCAATATACAAAATTCCTTTAGCAAAAAAAAAAACAATATACAAAATTCTACATGTATATAATTCTAATATACATATGATTGATAAGCACCGATTGATCGTAAAGTAGCAATAATCTCTTCTGTAGATACTTTATCATTATATAATGATTCCCAAGTAACGGCAAAATTTCCGTACATAGCAGGAGCAGCGAGTGCGGTGACACCGGCTGGGAACAAAAATGGCAACAAAACAATGGTAACCAAAGAAACAGTAGTACCCACTACCAAGACTGGATGCTCGGCGACAAACTTTTTCGTATCAGACAAAACCTCCAAGAATGCATTTTTCGTCGATTTTTTCGAGTGTTGAAGACGACCTGGCGAGGATTTGCTTCTTTCATGAAACGCGTGAACAATGCGAGTAACATTTGCGTGAGGTTGATATCGTGTCAAGTCCAATGTGTAAATTCGCTCGGATGGATGCTCGAGTCTACCTGTATTATCCCCATTATGGTATGTCATTGCTAATTCTTGAGTTAAAGCTCTTGCCCCGTCGAGTGTCGTGAATTTTATGACGGGGGTTGACAATGATACAGATGACATTGATGATGATGACGATGATGATGATGATATGGATGACAAATTTTTTTCGTTGTAATCCAACTGAAGATGAAATTCAAAATATTGTGTAATAGGAAATGGTTGGACTACACGAAAAACTTGTAAAAATGTTTGTACTGATTTTGGATCATTTAATACCGCACGACCAATATGAAAGATTAGACGATTGTCATCAAGTTTTATGGTAAAATATCGATTGAAAGTTGCTTTATTCGTGGTGTGATTCATTCCTGTGTTTGGTGGAAGATGTCCATTACGAATAAATGCATCCAGTAAAGCCACTTCGAATAATTCAACGTCAGATAATTGTACCATTTTATTCCATAAGCCTGTTTATTGGTGTTATTTTATTTATAGTATCTTGTTAATAATTATTTGTGAAAATGGGAAAAGCGTAAAGTTTATAAACATAATAGAGTTTCGATTCTCCGTCTAATACCCAACTACTTATATACGTATACTCTACGCACAAACATCATGTACATGAGTGTATGTGGATAGACGCATGAATTGACATCATTTCTCTTATCGCCATTAAATTATATTACTTATTTACTTTACTCCGTGCAAACAACGAAAAGCGAAATAATGATACTAAATAATAGGGGATAAGAGAACCGCTCAAAAAACAATGTTAACAATGATGATAGATGACTATTTATTTTTACTTTAACGATTGCACCAGCAACACCCACAATACGGAGCGCAAGTATTGCACATAACTAACTTTATTTTTTTTATTCCTATAATGGGCAACGACAACCAACAAATCTCAATATCAATATGGTCGATAAAATTAAAGTGTCAAGCAACATTAACATTATATAATACCTCATGTTTGCGTTTTTACCAAGATTGAAATGAGCTAAATAATATAAAATACCCCATATTATTTAATTCCTCGAGAACAATGAAATGTACGAAGCATGTCGTACATACATTACGTTACATATTAGTTTATTTCTTTATATTGTTATTTCTCTACTTTTTCGTATGTGCGTCTTGCTCTCTTACTTATCGTGCATATCAAAAAAATATTAAATAGAAACTTTAAATAATAACTTAAAACTTACCCAATACCCTAAACTTTTGTATTGTGCGCATAATTATATTCATAATAGAAACCCTACCTATAGCTGTGCATATTGTTCTAATAGCGCCAATGGTCTAAAAATTATTATTCATTCACTATGACTCGGGGACTCGGAAGATCCCTATTTCTGTTCACCATATAATGAAGGGCATCACATCGTCATTTCTAATTTGGATTTTTGACTTAGAGACGCTCAGCCATTATCCAGCAGATGGTAGCTTCACGCCCGTGTCCTGTCGGGCAGGCGTATATACCAACCCGAATCAACGGTTTCCTCTCGTTAATTTATTTAAATACTATTGTGAAAAGTAGTTGCTATCTGTGATCCCATATTTAATTTTGAGATTATGGTTAATTTCAAATGATGCCTTTTTTTAGATCAAAATTTATACTCGTAAATTATAAAAATTTAACCTCATTTTAGAGTCTTAAAAAAACGGTGAAATTTACGGCGGTGGCGGTTCTTAATGACTTAAAAGATATCATTATCTAAGCAACTGGAGGATATGATTAATATTCTGCAATGTTTTAAAATACTTGTTTTAAAGTTTCAGATAAAATATAATAACATTATTCTATAGGCAAAGAATATAACGAAAATAGTATAATGTTCTTAACAAGATAAGAATACTAAAAAACTCCTATTTTGTCTAAATTAAAAAGCAACCAATGTGTCATTTTCGTGATATTACCACCATTACAGCTCAGTAATTTAAGCCAATACTTTTACAATCTTGACATGGTTGATCCAGAACGACTTCATTTCGTCAAGAATGAAGCCGTCGTTGTTGAAAGAATATTTAATCATTTCCACGCATCTTGAAGATGATGAGTATTCTTTTTAATCACTGCTCGCAGTCGGTGTTCAAGAATTTCTGCTTCACGTCTAGCATTCGCCACTTGTCTTTCTAAATCTTCGACTGAAGCATTAGAAACCTTGGTTCCATTGTTATTGTTTGCGTTATTCGTCGGAACAAGTCTGGTGATGGTAGTGGAAGTAGAAGTGTTATTCCAAGTACCAGGATTGCATCCAAATGTAATTTGAGTGTTTGTATTAAGATCATCATCATCATCATCATCATCATCATCATCATCATCACTATCATTATTATTATTATTGTTATTGTTATTGTTATTATGATGATGATGATTATTATTATTAATATGATTATTATTATTATTATTATTATTATTATTGGTGATAGTGGTGTTAGATGCTGAATTACTATTAAAATGGGTAGCAGCAGCAGTACTGGGTGAATTGTATAAAGTTGAAGTTGGAAAACTAAAGATGGTCGGAGAATCTTTAGATAAAAACTCGGCCGACAAAAGATCAAAAGTTGCAGAAGTTGGAAGCATATTCTCATCTGATAAAAACGATTGACTATCGAGATTTTGATCTTTCTTTGATGAGGAAGCCGTTGAGATCCCGGGAGGCATTGTGAAAAAGGCCGAAGAAGCGAAGTCAAACTTAAAATCTGCCAAAAAGTTGGTCTTCGCATCGATAGAAGTAATTGCAGTTCCATTGCTATCCTTATTATTGATGGTGATATCATCTCGTTGGTCATTAGTTGCCTTCACCTTTTTAGCGATCAATTCGTTAACTACAGATTCTTTTTTCTCGATAGCATGTTTTTTGTCTTCATTGCCACCATTTAGAGGGATAGATGTTTGTTGCACTGGAACAATGATGTTTTTATCCTTTTTTTTTGGCTTCTTTGAAAGAATGGGTGAATGAATTACCGGGTTGCTATTATTATTGGAAGATGACGACTTTGTGTGATTTTCAGGGGCGTTATTTGGAACAGCAACCTTATTATTTTGGTTGGAGATATCTCTTGATTTTGTCGTAGTTTGTATATTGAAAGCTTGACCCTCGCCATTATTGTGTTTTTTCGAATCTTTAGTTCCGGCTGTCTGTTTATTATTACCAGCATTCAGATTCACGTTTTTTGGATGTTTATCTTTCTTTTTATGGCCACCAGGAGCAGGATGTACAATAGATGGTGAAGATGACGATGATGCATTAGCGATTTGGGTCGAGTCTTGATTGGCAATATTGCTATCTTGTCGTGATTGTTGTATTTGAGTTATTTGACCAGAAGAGCTGGGAACATTGGTAGTAGATGGAACTGATGTTTGGTTATTATTATTCTTATTACTGTTTTTATTGTTGCTTTTATTGTTATTTTTATTATTGTTATTGTCATCATCATCATTACCATTACCATTATTAACTTTTATTATTAAGGACTTTACGACTGCAGCAGCAGGTTTTGCGGAACGGTTATTTGAATTGGATTGATGATTTTGTTGTTTTGTTGTTGGATTTTCTGCATTATCTTTGGTAGTGGGAGGAAACTGGGAATCCAAATTGGGACCATGATCTTTTGCACCACAAAGTTGTTTTTTGGGTTCTTGTTGTTCATTAACCTCAGCAGTAAGATCCGAAGGTGTGGCAGTAGTAGCTATGGTGGTGGTAGTAGTAGCAGCAGCAGATGCAGTAGTAATGGTAGAAGCAGCAATAGTAGTTTGAACTTCTGCTGAAGATGATGATGATTCGTTATTTATGCCTATTTATTATTAATGTGTAACACAAGGTAAATTTGTACCAGAAGAAACAGACAATGAGCGGAATGAGAGGTTAACATACTGAATTTTTCCTAACTTTGCACCAAATTAGCCTCTCTCTATCTCTCCGAAATCCAACAACAACTTAACGACAAATCAACAACAGCAATAGCAACAGCAACAATATCAGATACAAGCACAATAATTATGATAGCATCCTCATAATAAATCATCTTCCCCCACAAAAACTTTTAAAATCAAAAATGTGAATTTGTAAAAAATAATAAAGCTACTCGCAATAATAAAGAAAATAAATAAATAAATAAAGAGCAAGTAGCAACGCAAAAAATATTGCTCTCGTTATCGGTTTTATTTTTGATGAATGATGATGAATGAATGTGTGATTTGTGATATTTTTGAGATATGTTCTTCCAACGAAAATTATTATTATTATTATTATTATCATTGTCATTATTATTATTATAATGTAATTAATTAATAGCCGCGGCCACTCAGCATTGAAGAAAACCCACCTTGCTCCACATTACCCAATCCAATTCCCATACCGAACCCACCATTAATTTGTTCGTCACCCGTTCTCGCTACTCGCTCAAATACACTTAAACGATGGCCCCCTACATTCTGTACTGGTTGTTGATGGTGATGGAGGTGATGTTGATGATATTGTTGTGACATTATTTGAGCGCTTGGTGCTCCTGGCGCCCGATATGCTGGGTCTGCGGATGACGCTAGTTTAACTGACATGATTGCTGGATCTGAAAAAGGAATGCTCGCCTCCGAATTTACTAGATATTTTATAAATATTAATAATGAACCAAATCATATTTAAAAATATATAATCAATAAGTTTTAAATACCTGGTGCTTGAATATCCTCTTGTGTATTTGAGCTTGCAGCGGCTGCTTTTAAAAATTCTGTGAAAAAATTATGTGGGTCATCTTTAGAAGGACCCCGGGGTAATCCTTGCATAAATTGTTGCTGTTGCTGCTGCTCTTGATGAGGGAGTTGTCTTGACATATTAAAGTCATCTTCCATATTCCATGGAGTAATAGAAGGATTCCAATTTGTAGAAATACCAAATGGCATGCGAGGAGATGGTTGATAAATACCTGGAGGTGGGGCTTTGATTGTTGGTGGTGGATTAGGTCCTAGTCCTATTTGTGGAGGTTGATGATGCTGCATCATAAAGTTTTGATGGAAATGATGGTCCATAGGAGCTGTGGGAGTAGAAGTATTAAGTGAGTGTGATTGATTTAATGGATTTCCCATTGGGACACCCGGTGGTGGAACGCCAGGTGGTGCTGTCATCACAGGTCGACGAATCGACGAGAAGTTTGGATCATTTGAGTTGTTCCACATTGATTCTTGATGTACGTCACTAGGACCGAAGCTTATATTAACATTAGGAAACAGCGCACGAAAACCTTCCTGCAGATCTTTCATGGCTAATGGATCTCCGTTATTAGCAGACGAATTGTCGCCTTCTTCTAAGACAAAACCAAAACGAGAGGACTGCCTTGCTTTGTTAGAAACAACGTTATTACTAGTCAATGTTTGTATCTTTGAAGAGGTCTGGAAAGCTTCTGTCATATTATTATTTCCAACAGGCGGTAAACCCATTATTCCTAATGGAGGTTCTGCACCAAACGGATCAAATTTTCCCTCCTCGCTTGAAAATGGATTAAATGAACCAGTATATGAAGATAAAGCAGTCTGAGGAAATTCAGGATCCGTGATACTCGTAACGATTGTGTTATTTACAGCATCATTTCTGTTTGGAAAACCAACCCCAGGTGGAGGAGAAACTATTCGTGAGCTTCCAAGTACTCCAAGTTCTGAAGGACCAGAGACTTTCTCCGGATGTTTCTCTGTTATTGACAACGATCCATCAAGAGAAGGTGGGTTGAAGGAAAAAGCAAAAGAGCCATCACTTAAAACGGATAATGTTTGTTCAAAATCTTCTATTTCTGGCTTGTGTCTGTTCGTCGTGTTTGGAAGCTTATCTTTAGTTTGACTATTAGAGCTTTGCTGCGATGATTTCTCTGCATGTTCTCCCTCGCGTAAGGGTACCGAAATTACATTTTTTTCTTTTGCATGATCTATGGTTTCTTTTCGCTGTGTTGATTCTGACGGTATAGCAGCTATAGCAGCAGCAGCAACTTGTGCAACTGTTGGATCATTTGTTTTCTTTGCTTGTTTAGTTCCCAAAGATTGAGCATCCAATGATCCAGTCCGTTTTAATTTTTGTTCTTGCTCTTGCTCAGACTGTGACTGTAGAGTATTATGCGATTGTGAGGATTGAGATGTGGCAGAAGGATGTTGTGAAGAATGTGAAGATTGCTGGGTATTATTATTACTATTGTTGTAGTTATTATTAATACTATTATTAACATTATCATCAAAATCATCATCATTATTAATATTGTTGTTGTTGTTGCTGTTATTATTATTGTTATTATTACTATTATTATTATTATTATTAGTAGTAGTAGTAGTAGTAGTAGTAGTAGTAGTAATATTATTATGTTGTATTGACGGCGGTGGGTGTTGTGTTATAGATTTTTGATACAATATAGGAGTTGCTTCAGGACTTTGGGTCTTAGCCGCCGCCCATGAGGCTGTCGGTGGTAATGCCGATGCTATTGTAATAAAAAAATATTAATTCTGAATGAAGATCTACAGGCAAAGACACGAATATTTATTTTCTTGAAGTTAACCTTCATCTCTTTCATCATTACTTCCTTTATCACTCTCTGGGCCAACGATCCGAGGTTGTGTCGCTGGTTCTGATTTTCTATGTGGCAACGCGAGAGGTGATGTCGTGGCAATTGATTTTTGTACAGGATGTGATGGTTGTGATTGGCGAGATTGTGGTGGATGAGTTTGGTGGGTTTTATGAGAGTCATTAACTTTGTGAATATCATGTATCACTTTGTGAGATTCGTATGCTTTATGGGGTTCGTGCACTTTATGAGATTCTTGTTCTTTGAGATGATGTTTACTATATTATAATATGAAAAAATTAAAATATTAATTTTAAATAATGACACATATAAAGAAAAATGTTATTATTTATAAATCATGAAGATTGAACTTACACAGAGGCAAGATCTTCTTTAGTATAACTATCGGCTTCCTCTCCTGGTTCATGCAGATACATACAGTTTGGATTCTGACATACCATATTTCGTAGGTAATATGTACAATATTTTGTGGTGCCATACGATGCCCTTTTTTAAAAAGAGCATTTCTTTCCATATAAATATTAAAAAAAGTCTGCTAGAATATTCAACAATAGATAGACAAGTCACCTTAATACTTTCCCATCCGACATACTACCATCCACAGCGTCTATAGCTTTTGCCGCATCTTCTTTCCGCACATACGTAATATAAACACCAACACTAGGTTGAGGTGGCGGCGCACCTGGAACCGTAGATGCGGGAGGATTTCGACGATTGACGACAATTTTAGCAATTTTGCCATATTGTCCAAAATAATCATGAGATCTTAGTACCTAAAACATAAAAATTTATCGCATTAATAATTATATTAATATTATAGTGAAAACAATACCATAAAGAAGTTGTATCAATAAAAATAATTTTTACTTCTTCAGTCGCTGTTTTAGGACTCAGACCTATTACATAGACCAGATTCTTTTGCACCACTCTCATATTTGCCAGGTGCATTCTTTTGTTCGCCTCTAGCTCCTTCCTTTCGCGTTCCTTTTGTTTTTTTTCATTTTTTATTCGAGCAAGCCTGAGTTTTTTTTGAATTGTAAAATCAAAAAGGAATTTTCGTAATAAAAATCAAATTAGAATATGGAAATATGATCTATTATAAATCGCTAATAAATAAAAATCTAAAACTAAAAAAAGGTAAAAGGAATTGCAAAACCACAATTTTTTCTAACACAACTAGACATTAAATATATAGTTTACGCATAATTTAAGGTGAATCGTGAACTACATACTCTTCTGCAGATATTGGTGTAAATTCAATAGTTTGCTCTGAGTAAATCCTTCTACATGCTGGACATCGATTATTCAAATTTTCCTGAATGTGATTCCAACA